ATTCTTTTCATTCAGCTCCTTCTGCATCTCTTCCAGACGCGTCTTTAGTGCGCTGCAACTACTTTCTTGACACTAAGCAAAAATGCGAGACATATTTAGTTTAGGCTTTTGGCATTCTATTTTAACTTTTTTTCTAAATGAACTTGTTTGTAAGCAATAATCCAAAGAGGAAGCCGTTGATAGTCTTGCCAGCGAAAGGTTGCTGTTGCATTTGCTTTCACTCGGACTGCTCCACAACGGTTGCACTAGGATTCTAACTTTGATTTTAGCTATAACTATTTATTTTTTTAAATAAGGCATGAGGTATTACTCGATGTCATTCCTCGCGACTGCTCCCTCAGCGGCGCGTTGCTCTGCTTCGCGGAGTTTCTCTTCCAGTTCCTGGACGGCATTCTCCTTTTCCTGGCACAACACAGCCATTTTCTCTGCTCTGAAACCATATTCCTGCAGTTTTCCTCAGAAAATATTGTCGAAAATATTCTGACCTGTCGGCCCGCAAAGGCAAACATGCGTGATAAACCTACTTACAAAAATACACACGCACGCACATAAACATATGAAAATCGGGACCTTGTTAACATGCTTTTTTTGATTCAGCAAGTTCGAAAAGCATAAAAAGAAAGATTACATAATGAGATCTTCTGCGTTCGCTTTTTCGGAGGCATTTTGTTCCGCTTCGCGCAGTCTGTTTTCTAGATCCTGGATGGCGCGTTCTTTCTCATGGCACAGCGCATCCAAGTGATCTGACCTGAAAAAACATTTCCGCACTTCCATTATAAGGACCGCTCTTATACAATACTAGCAGGCTGCACCCAAATTACCAGTGAAGGAATCAAACAACTAATTTCTGGCATTGGCCATCTGCTTTTTCAGCTAAAATGCGGAATTCTCCAAAACGAACTCTTGGATTTGCAACTGCCAAACTCTTGGATTTGCGACTAAATTTTTATGTGTGTGTATAGAGAGTGTTACCTTTCGTTAGCATCAGCCAACCACTGCCTGTGCTCGCCGAGGCTCCACTCTGCATCATTCTTCGCCTTCTCCAAATTGCCCATGAGATCATTCTTTCCATTCAGCTCCTCCTGCATCTCTTCTAGTTGTGCCTTCAGTGCGCTGGAACCACTCTCCTGGTACTCAGCAAGAAATGGGGTACTCAAATTAGGCTTCTGGCATTCTTTCGCAACAAAGTATTTTTAATCCCTTTTTAAAAAGCCACAAATTATTGTTATTATCATAAAGTGATAAATACTCGATGTGATCTTGCGCAGCTGCTCCTTCGGTGGCGTGCTGCTCTGCTTGGCGGAGTTTATCTTCCAGATCCCTGATGGCGCTGGCTCTCTCTTCACAGACTGCACCAAGTTGCTCGGCCCTAAAATCCCTATATTATAGTTTCTTGAGAAAAAGGTTTATCCAAAATGTCGCACCAACAGACTGCTTGCAAGGCTGCCAACCAAACGGGAGCCAGCTGGATACGGCAATCAATTCTACTTCCTCAATAGTTATCTGCACTTGCTGCAGCCTGTGCAACAGTTCTATGTACTGCAAGTACCTCTGATTAGCATCCGCGAGCCATTGCTTGTGTTCATCCAAGTTCCACTCCGCGTCATTCTTCGCCTTCTCCAAATCGCCTACGACGTCATTTTTGACATTCAGCTCCTCTTGTAATTTTTCAAGCTGAGCCTTCAGTGCACTGAAATAACTTTCTTTGTAGAAGACAAAACTGTTAGATCTATTCAATGCAACTATAATCCGAGTAATGCCATGTAAATAAAATCTGCATAAGACGCCCAACTCTTGTAAATGTCAATTTGCATGGCTAGCAGCAATTGCTGACAATAGAGACAATACATGTAACATTACTCGTTTTCATCTCGCGCGTTTGCTCCTTCACTGGCACTTTGCTCTGCTTCACGGAGTTCGCCTTCTAGATCGCGGATAGCATTCTCCCTCTCCTGGCACAGCAAACCCAATCGTTCCACCCTAAATCGCGTTTCTACAATCTTTTTTAGGAAATTTGCTAAGTCCGTGGAATTTCATCTTCCCAGTGTTTGTTTGCTAGCAAAACTGAACCTGTGGAAACATAATAGTAATTTTTGGGCACGAAGAGACACTTTCATAAACACAGACTTTCACATAAAACACACTTTCAGGTGCACATAAACTTACACATTTATGCATGTAGGCGGAAGAAAAAGGGTCGCAACACTTTGTCAACTTCCATTTTCTCATCCGCACATTTACAAAAAAAATTACTCATTTTGCGCGTTTGCTCCTTCGGTGGCGCTTCGTTCCGCTTCATGCAGTCTGTTCGTCAAGTCCTGAATGACGTGCTCCTTCTCCTCGCACAGCGCATTTAGTTGGCCGGCTCTTAAAATGCATCTTTATGCTTTTATTGGAAAAACTGCCTGTCTTACCTTGCAGCGCTGGCTCAGGATGCATACAGTGCAGGTTAGTAAGCATCAAAGAACCCACTGTTCTATTGATTCCTTGCTTAAATGAGATTCCAGACACTTCAGAGGGAACTATTGGATTTGTCCCAAAAGTTTTTGTTGTGTATTAAAGAAAACACCTTTCGTTAGCATCAGCCAAGCACTGCCTGTGCTCGCCGAGGTTCCATTCCGCATCATTCTTTGCCTTCTCCAAATTACCCATGAGGTCATTCTTTCCATTCAGCTCCTTCTGCATCTCTTCCAACTGCGCCTTCAGTGCGCTGCAATGTCTCCCTAGTGGTAAACGAAAATAAAAAGCTACGAAACCTACGTCATAGGAGTACCCAGTTGTTTTAAGCTCTACTTTTACACCTAAGATCAGCCATTAACACAAAAAATAATGCAAAAACCAATACTCGATGTCATCTTGTGTGGCTGCTCCTTCGCTAGCTCGTTGTTGTGCTCCGCGCAGCCTGTCTTCTAGATCCTGGATGGCGCTTTCTTTCTCCTGGCACAGCGCACCCAGCTGATTTGCCCTGAAAACACATCTCCGTACTTCGATTATAACAACCGCCTTGGTACAATACTAGCAGGCCCCGTTCAGGTTAAGATGGAGAAATCAAAAACTGAATTCGAAAACTGGCCTTCCATTTTTCCAAATAAGATGAGAAATTGTCTGGAAAGATTTCTTGGCTCTGCAACTGCCGCGCTGGGTTTATAAAGAGTGTTACCTTTCGTTAGCATCAGTCAACCACTGTCTGTGCTCGCTGAGGTTCCCCTCTGCATCATTCTTCGCCTTCTCCAAATCGCCCATGAGGTCATTCTTTTCATCCAGCTCCTTCTGCATCTCTTCCAGCTGTGTCTTCAGTGCGCTACAAACTCGGCTGGCATATAAGTAATAAACAAAGAATGCTGAACCGCAAGAATATTCCAGCCATTTTGACTCCTAATTTTACATCTAGAATCAGCCATTAATATCAAACACAATGCAAAAACCAATACTCTATGTCATCTCGCGCAGCTACTCCTTCGCTAGCTCGTTGTTCTGCTTCGCGAAGTCTGCTTTCCAGGTCCTGAATCATGCGATCCTTTTCCTGGCACTGCGCACCTAGTTGTTCCGCCCTGAAAATCATGTCAGTGCAATAAACGAAATATCTAACTTATCTGCCAAAAAGTAATAAATGACTAGTATATTTTGCAAGCACAGTTCAATCAACAGAACATGGTTGTTGCAAAATTTCTGTTCAAGCACGTATCCGAAGTTATTTTGTGCATTTTCTAAAATTCCCATTTTTCCAGACCTCCTTTCTGTCTTTTCAGGACTAGTCTTAATTCAAAGGAACAAGATCTTTATTAATCTGAACTTTTGCTTTGGTAATACTCAATAAAACAGAGATGTGCGCGTACTTTTCGTTAGCATCCGTGAGCCATTGTTTGTGTTCGCCGAGGTTCCATTCCGCGTCGTTCTTCGCCTTCTCCATGCAGCCCAGAATGTCATTCTTCCCATCCAGCTCTCTCTGCACCTCTTCTAGTTGCGCTTTCAGTGCACTGTAATGAGTATTCTGGTACACATCAAACAGCGAGGTATATTCAGTTTGGGAATTCTGCTGCATAAATACCTATAGATTGTCAACTTCTACACTAATGGGCAGCAAAACAACTATCAATATTACAGATAAAATAATCTTACTAAACACTTTCTTGCGCGGCTTCTCCTCCAGTGATGCGCTGCTCTGCTTCGCGAAGTCTCTCTTCTAAGTCCCGAATGGTATTCTCTCTGTCCTGGCACAATGCATTCAGTTGCTCCGCTCTGAAATCATATCTTTCTAATTTATTTTTACAAAATTTTCAGTCTGTTTACTGTGATCCAATACAGTAAAACGCACAGATGCTTTCGGATAATAACCATATGAGCATAGTGACTACGGGTAATGAAATGGTCATCGCAAATTCTTGAAAATTCTAATTCCGTGATGTTTCGGATAATCAATGCAATTTTTTTTTTTGAGATTATGAATAGCTCTCGGGAAACACTTATCGGATTAGCATTTCGAGACGGTTTAGGCTGTTTTTTTTTTTGGACAATTACCTGTTATTGGCATCCTGCAACCAGGCCTTGTGTTCTCCAAGACTCCATTCCAGATCCTTTTTTTGTTGTTCCAACTCGCCAATATGCCCCTCTTTAGCGTCCGTTGTCTCTTGCATTTCAATCAGCTTTACTTTCATTTCTCTAAAGATATCTCCCTCAGCTATTAGAAGATACTCTGTACTGTATGAGACAGAACAGCAGCGTAGAAGCTCTAGAGTTATACAATCAATTTTAGCTCGCTGTCTTTAGAAAACAGAAAGTCAGCGTGACAAACTAATTGATCTAAACAGCACTGAACAACTATCATTTAGCTTGGCACCTAAATTCACTGAAACATAAAAGGAAAAAAAATGGATCAGAGGGAAACAGAGCGAACCCAGAAGTGGTAATATGATTAATTCAAGAACAGCCTGTCCTTGTTTTACCTTTGAATTGCGATAGGAACAGAATTCATCAGTACAACTAGGTCTCGTAGACTCTGGGGCATTTTTTATAAAATCAACGATCTTGCGAATATTGGGTTTTCGGAGTCGCAAAGGTCTTAATATTTGCTGATTTCACGGTACTAATCGGTAACTAGTGACATATATAATATATAACATTACTCGAAGACATTTTGCGCATTCGCTCCTTCGGTGGCGCTCTTTTCAGCTTCGTGCAGTCTATTTTCCAAATCTTTGATAGCATTCTCCTTCTCATGACATAGTGCATCCAGTTGATCTGCCCTGAAATTACATCTCTGCGCTTAACTTCAGAGAAATTTCCCACTAAACGTATTGTATTAGCAAAACGTCTGCAAACTTTAGTTAGCAGCGATCTCATCAGACAAATGCGGTACTGAATTATTGTTTGCTCAGGCAAAATACGAAATGATTCAGAAGCAACTCCTAAATTTGTAAAGCGTATACCTCGCGCTAGCGTCAGCAAGCCACTGCTTGTGCTCGCCAAGATTCCATTCCGCATCATTCTTTGCTTTCTCCAAATTGCCAAGAAGATCATTCTTTCCATCCAGTTCCTTTAGCACCTCTTCCAGCTGCGCCTTCAGTACACTGCAATTATCCTCCTGAGACACATCAAAGAATAAGGCATATTAACGCCCTGCCAATCAAATTTCAGTTGCATCTTCCGCATTGAGAGTCCAATAATTAACAGCACAGATAATATAGCATTACTCTTCATTATCTCGTGCAGTTGCTCCTTCGATAGCGCGTTGTTCCAAGTTGCGAAGTCTGTCTTCCAGGTCTCGGATGTTATTTTCTCTTTCTTCGCACAAAGCACGCAGTTGCCCGGCCCTGAAATTGTATTACCACAGTGTTATTTGCAAAAATATCGCATTAAGTGGCCTAAATCAAAATTAGCTATGAGAAATGAAACAGCCGAATTGTCGCAAAAGTCGCGCAAAAAGCTAACAAAAACTGGCAGTTTGCTGAAAGTGGCTGCAGCATTAATCACTAGAGCGAAACGAGTTACAGACGAGGAGGCAGGACAGAGGTGGGTTAGCGCGGCTGAGTGGCAAAACCGAAGCGCGCTGGCGCGGAGAATTGGGGTATGTTACTTGCAATCTGATTTTTTGGCGCATGATCGCCAGCTGCGGTATACAGTAAAGCAGCTGATAATGTAGCAGATAGCGCACTGCGTTCGAAGGTCAGGATGAGTAGTTCGATTCTTTATTAGTCAACAAGGATTTTTGGAAAAGAATTCTGTCCACAGTATAAGTGCCATGGTAGTTCCTGCTGTCCTGGAGGAGAATCAGATTGTTTTAGAAAGAGTTC